GTCGCTATGGGCCATAGCGACTTTGTGTCGCTATAGCCCATAGCGACTCTAAATAATAATAAAAAACTGAGGTTGCTATAGTCCATATCATATTTTTAAAATTTTTATTTTATACTTCTTCTTTTTTTTCATTTTTTTTTATATTTCTGTCTTCACTTATTTTTTTCTTTTATATTTTATATATTTTTTAAATCAAATTTATATATTTTTATGGATTACTAGACGCGCTAGGGCCCATAGCGACCTCCCTTTTTTTATTTTAAATATTTTTGTTTTATACTTCTTTTTTTCGTTTTTCTTACATTTTTTTCCTTCAGTTAATTTTATCTTATATTTTTCCTTTTTTTTTCTTTTCCACATGTATTTTTCTCCACATTTATTTTATCATTTTTTAAATTATTATTATACACTATAAAAAATTAAATAAATCACATTTTTTTAAACATATTATATACTAAAATTTTAAATAAATTTTTTTTAATAAAATAAAATTAATTGGTGTCGTTATAGGCTATAGCGACTTTATATGTAACCGTTTTGTGTCGCTATAGGTTATAGCGACTTTATATGAAGCGTTACCAGCTGTAGCGACTTTAGTAATATGGCGTTCATGACTTCAAAAAAAATTACACGTGAAACTGGTGTCGCTATTAGTCATAGTGACACTGTAGTAAAGTGGCCTAAATGCGTAAATAATTTCAAAACAATCTCATTTACATAATTAGTTTTAAAAACTACCCTACAATCAGCCCTCTTTTTCTCTAAAAGTGACCTTATTCATCGGAGTGTTTCATTGTATTCTAATTCCATTAGAATTCCCATATATTCTATTACCCTTTTCCAAGGTAATCATTTGATTATTATTCCATAATTTTTATGTAAGTACTTGTTGATGCAAATGATATCTAGTGGTTGATTTTCCAATTTATACCTATTCCATTGAGTTTTGATGAATTTAATTAGTTATTGGTAACAATATATAAATATATCCCTAAATCACATTATTTAGGGTTTCAAAATCGATTGTTAGTTCCATAGTTTGTTCGAAGTTTGGGTTTCAGTCATTTGTTAATTTTATAGTTTATTGATGATTTTGATTGCAATATGAATTTTCATGATTGTGGTACATATGATTAATTTTCTGTTTTGATCGCATCACATGAAATTCGCCTTTTGTTGTGATTCGTGGTAGACAACATAGATTTTGACATTTTATGGACTATAGTTAAAACAATAAATAAATAAATCATAATTTTTAAATATAAATATAAACCATAAATATATTTAATGAAACATAGATATATAATTTTATTAAAAGAATTATACATCTATCTAATAAGTGCATAGTATAATTTGAGAGAATAAATATAGTTATTACATATAGTGTATTTTTTAAACATTAAAGTAGTTTCTTCAACTATCAATTACAAAATTTGCATTTAAGTGCATTTTTCATTTTTTAGGTATATCAAACTTAGAGAGTGAATATAATATATTATTGAGTGTATATTTTTTTTAATGTCAACTTTTTAATATGAAATTGAAAGACAATTCTTTTTTATGAATAAAAAATAAATAAATTGAATGACACTTAAAGTATGAGTTTGAAGTCCTATTTTTAAAAATATTTAAAAATATAAAATGAATTTAGGGTTTTAAGATATGTACATATATAAAGGACGAAGTAATTTTTTTTCTTAAAATATGAGAGATTAAAAAAAATTATGTCACTTTTGATTAAAAGTTCTATACAACTACACTTTTAAACTACCTTTAAGACCAAGGTTGATCATAAATAACCTATATAATTACGAGTTTACACATGTTATCTTATTTATAAGTTATATAAATTTTGGTCCATGATTTCATAAACTAACTCATTTAATTCCCACAACATACTATTTTAGCAAATAAATTAATTGATTATTTACTAATTAATTGTAATGTTTATGTTTGACAACTATTTACTTGAAATTTAAAATTATTTGATGTTTGATATTTTTTTTTTATTAATTTGAACTTAGTTTTTTTATCTTTATTTTATGTCAAAGACTAACCATTCAATCGATAAAAAACAATCATTATGTTCCACCATTTAATTTGTGAGTTCATTTAATCTAACCTATTTTTTATTTTTTAGTATATGATGATAACAAGATATGAACCTAAAATTTTTAGTATACTATTATTAATCTGATTCTAATAATTTTTACTCGTTAACTATGATTTTTGTAAATCAAATTGAACAATATAAAATAATTTTTAATTTCTAATTTTATCATATTATTTATTACATTACATATTCCTCTGTTTTAATTGTAATAATTATTAAATACTAATTTGTAATAGAAATAATATATCATAATTCTAAAATCCAATGCATTTATGTTTAATTTGTTTTAATTATTTGATTTTTTTTACATTGACGTTGTTGATAACTAATATTTATTAAAAAAAATTAATTGATTACTTTTAGTGAGATTTAAAACATGTGACTATTTTTTTTATAATCTAAATACATTCAAACCAACGAGATGTGTTGTAATTGTATCATTTGGTCTAGACAGGATAATCCTCAAATTTCACCCTTTTATCATTTTATTTAAAATTCTATTTTATCTGTCAATTTACCACAGAATCAGGTCAATGAATCACAAAACACAATCTCATTGGCTAGCCCAACTCTTTGAGGTTAATATCACAAGGCCCACTACACACTCAGGCCCACTATACACCCAGGCCCACATCCATACGGCGTCGTTTAGTAACCCTTCCCCACCATTAAATTAATCTGAACTGAAAATTAAACTAAACTGGAAACTTTGTCACTATACGAAACAAAATAATAAAAAAATGTAGAAAACTTTCCGTTTCCATTTTCCTCGAAATCATTTTTTTTTTATTTTTTTTTTCATCGAAATCAAAAACTCTTCGTTCTCTCTCTCTCTCTTCTTTCTCTCTCTTCCATTCTATCTATCCATTTCTGTCCATCGCCGACAACCGCCAATTCCCTCCATTTCAAAGAAAACCCCTTTCTCTCTCTTCTCTTCTCTTCTCAGGTACTCAATCCCCTCTTCTTCCTCTCTCTCTCTCTCTCTCTCTCTCTAACGCATGGGTTCCCTTGCTCTATTTGAATGCAAAAGAATGTTTCCCATTTTCCTTTTGCCACATCTTAGTGTCTTTCTAGCCTTAGAACGTGGTAAAGAATCGTGGGTTGTCTTCAAAATGTGTTTTTTTTTTTTTCGTGGCAGCATATAATCTTTATATGTTGCTGTTTTTTTTTTGTTGGGTTATGTTTTTTTTTTTGCTCGATGGAAATGATGTTATAAGCAAAGACGGTGCTAGTGATTGCTTTCTTGCGATAGAAATGATAAAGTTTAGGTTTTTGTTCAATCTGAAATTACTGTTTGGGAGGGGTGGTGTGGGTAGGGATGGTTGTAGTATTATGGGAATCATAGGTGTGTTCGGAAATTGCCTCTGTTTACTTCTTGAGTGGCTAAACTGGGTTTTTATGTGTGAAAATTAATGTAATATAGTTGGATAATGCTGAGTGAAAATGAAAGTTTGGTGCTTGTGAGTAGGAATGGTGTAAGGTGTTTTGAGAAGGGAGAATAGATTTCGTACTTGTTAGTCTAAATGTAGATATTTTATACTAGAGCAAATGATTAATTAAATGAGTTCTGTACTATGAGAATTGCTTTTTGCTTAGATGTTGAATCTGTTCAGTTTGATGCTGAATGTGTCTTTACTCTTCACAGGTTTCAAATATGTATGTATTCAAACATGAGTATGCAAAGAAATTTTGGTAATTTTATGTAGATATAGACTTGAATAGCAATAAGGGCATCTATCCCTCTCTCAGTCTCTCTGTGTGTAAATATATTTAGAGAACTTACCATTTGTGGTAATTTGTCGTGGTTAATGTATTTAGTGTATAAGACACAAACTTGATATATTGCCACCCTTAATTTCGTGGAAGTTTATGTCTGCCTACTATTCATTTCTCTACAGGCATTTTCTGCACATAGTGACCTCGTGTTCTGTTCTTTACAGGTGTTGCATTGAACGTGAAAGATGCTGAGTTATTCTCCATTCTTCTCTTTTGCAAGTTTACATCTGCTTTGCTTTGTGATATAGAGATTTGTGTATCACTGCAAATACTTTCACAAACCATGCATTTGAGAAATGTTGTGGGAGCTTCTTAATCCTGGTTGCGGAATTCCTTTGATAGGTGGATGGTATTATGTGGTTGTCTGGAGTTGAAATTTAAATTTGTACCTTAGCAAACATTGCTTGCATCACAAAGAAACTTCCAATATCAGTTGATTTTACTTTTCAAATTGGTTTAAGATGTCAGAAATTGACATGGCGGTTATTAAACCTGAGGTATGAAACTTTTTTGTATAAAGGTTTTTCCTTTTTTAACCCATATAGTTCAGTGGTTAAATCTTTATTTAAGTAATTAATTTGTACTGCTTTAGGTTTCTTTTTCTTTATCTCATTTTTGTTTGGTTGTCATGCTGAAATTATTCCTTTAAGATTTAGTAAAGAATGCATTCTGTTCTTTATGTTTCAGTACTTGATTAGTAGTAATATTTGTTATTATATTTACATTTTTCAATTTGAAAATAGTTTAATGAGTTAATTAACTGTAGTGAACTGTAAATATTATTATTCTCTTACAATGTTTATTGTTTTTTTTCCCTCAAACGTCGTTGAGAATTTTGAAGGATAATTAAGTTGGTGTTTCATGTGTTTAGAGTTTTAATTATTAGGCAAGAATATGAAGTTTCTTTAGTTTTGGCTTGTAAAGGGATGAGTTTAGAGGAATTGGTATTACCCTGGTTTAGAGTTCCTGTATGTTAATTAATTCTGGTATGGCTGAAGTTCAATTTGTTAATTTCATATAAATATTATTCAAATTAATAATTAAGTTGGCATTGCACTAGATTAGTATTCCAGTCATCCAGTATGTTAATCTTAGAAGATTTGGTTATGTCTGCCAGCAAGCAGAGATACCAAAATGCTTAGGTATTGTTCAGAGTTTGCAGTTCTTTGGTGTATTTGGTTGGAGCTTCTCTAGACAACTGTAGGTTCATTTGGGATAGTTTTTTTTTTTCTCTCTCTCTTTTTGATGTTTTGCCAATGATCTTTTTAGAGTAGTGCCTTTGATCAATCTGTAGAAAGATTGGCATGCTGTGTTGCATGTTTCTTGATTTTTTCTTCTCCTCATTTGTGGTGTATTTTACTTTTGTTTATTCTTCTTTCCTAATAAATTCTTTGTTATATATAAAAAATTCAGATGATGAAGCCTTATATCTGGCTTGAGACATCAGACGGTTCAATCCAACAAGTGGAACAAGAAATTGCAATGTATTGTCCTCTGATTTGTCAAGAAATAATACAAAAGGGCATGGGATCTTCCAAGAATTGTGCAATATGTCTTCCTCAACGAGTCAGTCCTGCGATGTTGAGCTTAATTCTTGATTATTGTCGTTTTCACCAAGTACCGGGTCGCTCAAACAAGGTTTACTACCTGTTCTACTTCGCTCTTTAATGCTTTTAAATTGTTATTATCTTTATACATGGTAGTTTAGGGCTGAAAAACAATGTATGTCCAGATGATCTTACTAGGGGTTATTCTTTGTAAAGGAACGAAAATCTTATGATGAGAAGTTCATTAGGATGGAAACGAAACGGCTCTGTGAGTTGACATCTGCTGCAGACAGCCTTCAGTTGAAGCCATTGGTTGATCTTACGAGTCGTGCACTTGCTCGGATAATTGAAGGAAAATCTCCAGAGGAGATACGTGAGATATTTCATTTGCCTGATGATCTTACTGAGGTGTCTGGTGATTGTGAGAACTCTGTATGCCAATTATGTCTTAGTTCATCTTCAATTATCTTTTTTCACACATGATTTTGATGCAGGAAGAGAAGTTGGAGCCCTTGAAAAACACAACTGATGACCCAAGGATCAGGCTTTTGAATCGATTGTATGCCAAAAAGAGAAAAGAACTAAGAGAGCGTGAGAGGTTAAAGGTACCAGAGTGTTGTTTCTTTATTTTTACCATTTTACAATATATGTCACATTATATAGTGTAGTCCTTATTCCTTGATTAGATATTCCTAATTTAATTGAACTTTTGCTGGGAAGATGTTTTCTTGCATCTCTTCTCATGTACTAATTTTTAGATTGTTGAATTAATAAGAATTAATCCCTTGCATGTTTCAGAATGTTGAAGCTGAAGAAGAGCATGCAGATGAACGTTCAGTTGATGACCTTTTATCTTTCATTAATGGAAATGGAGGTACAACTTTTTTGCCCTTGTTTCTGTTTAGTTTACTTCGTGTTTCTTTCCCTAGATTAGTGCAATATACCTAATTGTTGAAGTCTGTTTTATATTATTTGAGAACCACATGAAATTATTCTGCTAAACCTACATGATGAGCCTAATGGTTGATTTGTTACCATGGTTGCAGCCTCAAAATTAGTATTACTTAGTTCCTTTAACCGTCTAATTCTTAATGCTAGTATGGACAGACAAATATCCAACATCGGTGGACTATGATAAAATATAATGGTGTATCTAAATTTGAGAGATTAATTATTTGTAATAGATAGATTCTTCCTAGTATCCTTTAAATTACTCATTGAATTGAAGTAGCACTGCAAAGGCCAGTGCTAATATCAGTTTCCTATTCTATATTACTAGCATTTGTTTACACCCCCCCCCCAACCACATATCTCATTGGGTTGGAGTGCAATTTTGAAGGGAAAATAGGATAAAGTTAGTGTTAATTTGATAAAACTCAAGGGTGGTTAGTGTTATTTACTTTTTATATAACAGGGTAAATATTAACGATGATGAGGAATGATAACTTTACCATTGACCATTGGTTCTAACATGACAAATGCATGGCATCACTGATCCTAGTATGCGCCACTATAGCATGGTTCTTGATAAAGTTATGTTGAGTAGCTTTCACTTGTTTCATTTTAGAACTGTTTTTTAATTCTCTTGAGTGGGGAATATTTTGAGAGCTATATCTTTTTTAATTTATTTTCTGGTTTAATTCCCTCGAATGCCTAATCAATGGTGAAAATTTTTGTCACAGATCCAAAGGGAATTAAAGCATCCAAGAATAAAAAGAAAAATAGAAGAAAAAAAGAGCAACAACAGAAGAACTCTTCTCCGAAGGAAGCTTCTGAGGTGAATAAGAAGGTTTTTGTAAATATTCAGTTTTATTTTATTGGAAAGAGTCAATTATTTGTCATATAAATCATAGTGTTGCCTTTTATTATCTCGTGATAGGAAGTAAATGGTCAAAATATCAGACACCAAAGTGTTGAAGCTGATGGAATTGCTGAGACCTCAAATTCACATACAGAAGACCTTTTTGCTCAAAAGGAGTTTGATGATGGAGATGATGGGATTGATCCTGCACTGAAGGAAAAAATTGACAGGTGGGGCTACATTCTAAGTGCATCTTTGGTAATGCTTTTTCAAGAGAAATAAATGATCATTTTAAAAAGCTCCCAGGAAGTTGTGAAAAGAAAACAATTATTTCTCCTAGTAGAATGAACCAAATACGCACTAATTATATTGTTTATAGTATGCTGTTTTTAAATCTAATTTTTATTTTTTGTGAATGGCCATCATCATCTTTAGCATAGTTGCATTGGCAGATCACTAGCTTTTCTTCTCATTAGTGATCAGTAGCATTGGTGAATATATTTTATGTGGAATATAGCATATGCAGAGGACAAGGCATCAGAATGATTGAACTCTATCCTTCTACAAATTGTACTTTTTGAGTCATCTATTGCTGGTTGAATATGGCATGAAGTGCTTGAGTTCTTGTGTTTATCAGAGGGAGACATGACAATGCCAATTTATTGGACTTTACAACTTATCGTGTTTTCATTCTTGGTCTTTTTTTGGAAGAGAATGATAAATTTAGTAATATTTTGTATCCTATATCAATCTAAATATTAATTTTTCATGATCCTGAATATTTTAAAACTTTGATGGTTAAGTCTATAAGATTTGCGAACTTGCTTAGGATGATAATTAATATTTCCCCCTTATTCATTCATAAGTGTTTGCAATATTATGACGAGTATTGAATTGCTCCCTTAGTTTTTTGCTTCTACTATTTCCTAAGTTCATTACATTTTCTCCTATTGGTTCATAAGGCATCAAGTCCGTGGCTTAACACTAAGTGCAATGCTCATGAAACTTGTTGATTATTAGAAGAGAGAGACAGAGAGAGAGATAATTTCAGAGAAGAGTGTAAAGTTTAGTTCTAAATATGTCAATTATTGTTACAATCACTGTAGTTGGTTACACCTGCATAAATACCTATACTAACAGTAACTAACATTCTGAATTAGTTACAGCTGTACAAACCCGCCAGATATTGAAACAAAGCTAGTACACCAGTGGAATTGCAGCTGGAATAGGTTGAGGGACAGGAATAGAAGTAGCAGAATCCGGTGAGAAGAGTTCTTTGTAGGGTAATTTAATTTCATTGAACCATTGAAATGAACAATTTACCAGCATGAGATAAGCATTTGTAGCCCTTGTCAGAGGGGGAATACAGAATACCCAAAAAATATAAATTCATGGATTTGATATTGAATTTTTGAGTATTATAAGGTCTCAGAAGAGGTAAGCAAGCACAAACAAGGACTCCGGATGATTAATCTTGCATTTGGTTGAACAATTGTGTATAAGGAACTGCAGAGTTAAGTGCTGCAGTGAGAACTCTATTGATTAAGAAAACTGAAGTGATAAAGGCATAACCCAAGAATTTTAAGGGCAAAAGGCATGACTGGGTAGGGAAGTAGCAAAGGTGAAGACATGCGTTTGTTTTCTCTCTACTACACCATTTTGGTATTGTGTGGGAGGGAAGATGCCCAAATATAACGCCTGAGTTCTTTAGAAAACCGGCATGACTGAGTAGGGAGAGACCAAAGTTGACAACATGCCTTTGTTTTCTCTTTACTACACCATTTTGGTATTGTGTGGGAGGGACGATGCCCAAGTATAATGCCTGAGTTCTTTAAAAACTTGGTGAGTGGTTGAAACTCTCCTCCCCAATCAATTTGAAGAGGTTTTATGAGGAGGGTAAGAAAATATTTCCTGTCTTATTTATTTCAAATGAGACATTATATAGAAAAGAGGAAGAAGGGAAAAAGGAAATAATAAATAGGATATTCCCATAATTAATTAGGAATCCCAAAATTACAAGAGTGATATATAACTGTAGTTGACTCCTATCCTTCCAATTAATGAGATACTGTGATTCTCCTAGAATTTAGGGAATTGGTATCAGACAAATTTTGCAATTAACAGTGTTTCAGTCATGTATTTAAATTGTTGAAAAGTAATGAAGGTTTGTGACTTGTTTTTGAGTACGTAGATCCAAGTGAATATGGAATAAGCATTAGCAAAAGTAATGTAGTACAGAAAATGGTTGGAGGATAGTAGAGGGGTAGGTCTCCCCACAAATTGCCATATACTAGTTCAAGTGATGAATTATAAGTTGCTGTGGAAGAAAAGGCAGTCAATGTGTTTTTCAAACAAAGCAGGCTGAACATAATTAGAAGTGCTTTTATTGATATTCCATTGTTGTAGTACAATTATCATGACGTTGAAATTGGGACGCCTAGTCTTTGATACCATGGAAAAAAGAGAATGGACAGTTACAGCAGAGTCGACATTATTATTTGTGATGGAAATAGAAAAAGACAAAACTTAGGTTCAACACCATGAGTACTATTGGTGCTGTTTTTCAGTCAAAATTAGAGTTTTATCTTGGTAATATACATTTACATTAAATGCAGACTTCCCAAGATGAAACTAATTGTGCTTAGAGAGCAGCACCCACCAACCGTATCATAGATACTGTATCCAAGTTATGTCCAATAGAAAAAGTATTTACAACTAGATGGAGGAAGCAGAAACTAAGGAGAGAAAAAATTTCGGAGTTATAAGTTTTATTTCTAGTTTGTTGGTTATTGTTACAATGAATTCAGTTTCGGATATCAGCTATACATATATGCTGATGACAGAACCGTGAGTCAAGTACAACTGCATTGCATAACTACCTACGCTAACTATGATGTCTGAGTTAGTTACAGTTGTACAAACCTGCCACTATTAAAACAAAATTAGTACACATTTATGGCGTAGAACCCGAGAGTTTCCCTTCTTTCGTATTAATTAATTGTCTTCTGTGCTGTTTTTCCTCATTCTTTTGGGTGAGAAACGTATCATTTTGTTGTAAAGAAATGTTTTTGTTGGTTATATAAATGTGCTTTTAAGATTATATATACAGAATATTACTTGCTTATAAATGTGTTTTTAAGATGATGCTCAGCAAATCTTATGTGCTCGATGCCCTTTGTGGACACAGGGAAGTGGCAGATTTTGCCCGGCGTTTGAATTCTGACTGGCCAGAGAGGATGCAAGAATTTTTATCAACAGGACAAGAAAAGAAGACAATGCTTTTTACTCCCAATGGAAATAGTTTTCTACGGCGAAATGCTTGTATGTTTTCCTTCTGTTTTGAGTGTTTTTACTTATCCATTATATGCTTGCTAGCTGAACTTTCATTTCTCCAAAAGGTTTTTCTCTCTCTTACTAAAAATCTTGTATAATAGATATTCCTGCCATTCATTTCTCTTCCTTTTAAAATGAGTTTATCATTCTAGTTATCTGCAGCTTCTGCAATCTGGTCTGCTAGAGCTGATAACATGTTTTCGATCTTCACCTTTTATTTTTATTCAAATTTGTTTCCTTTTGTTATTTATTTTATGCAAGTTAATCTGTTAGAGTGACTGCTTTGCGAAGTAGAGTTTACCTCTTACCATGTCCTGTCAACTTGTAGAAACCATGAATCACTATAATTGCCAAAGAATTTCTAATCTTACAACCGTATTTGACATGATGAATTTGGTAATCTGTGAGTTTGTTGTTATCTCCTCGAATAGTGCTTGATTATATTCAGTGTGCAATTTAGTAATGAAGAACTTATGATTATGATTTCCCCTATTTTTGATATAACATGCTCAAAATGACAGTTTCTATTTCATTCGAGTCATTTTCACCTTGTCATCTGAAACTCGATACATATCTTTGTTTGTACAGGACTTGACTTGGATGGATTGGAAATGAATGCGTAAAAGATTGCAAGCCTACCCAGATGACTAAAGGCTTGAACAATTTTGAGAGATACTGACACATGCTTGAAAACTGTTGCATGTCAGTTATTTTCATTTTTTCTCCTCTTAGTGTTCAAATTTATTCTTTGTGGTTCATTGTTGGTGTTTAGCTCTGGTGCTATTTGCTACTAGGGGCTTTCTCTTGTACTTACAGGAAAGAAATAAAAAAGGTTGAGCTTGTGTGGATTATGTCCTGTGCATTTGCTTTTGGTTTGTTCCTTTTAAGTTTTGATTTTGATTTAAAGGCTCGTCTGTACCTTATGATTTATGTAGTTTTGAGCGAAACAGAAAGAATTACCAAGTTTTTCTATAGGAGTGAGTGTTAGTATAAAAAATTTCAGTGATATAATGGTTTGAAATTAAATCTAAAGATTGAAGAGGAGATACGAAAGATCCATGACTTTGGGAATACAGGGTTAATTGCCTTTCTATTTCCTCCAAGTTCCCCTCCCTAAATAATCTTAATTATTTATGAGCTTAATAGGAGATCATTTGGTGGTGCTTTTGTGTGTTGTTGCTATCCAGTTGGAATTAAAGCTGGTGAAAAGTGAGCCTGATTCAAGGTACAAGCACTTTTTGATACATTGACAATTTAATACATGGAATAATTTTACAGAAAAAGAAATTTAACCATCTTCTACTTCACAGTTCGCAAGTTTCAAACCACCGTATCATCATCATTATCATCTTCCAGTCTAACCTCAATTGATTGCGAGTTGTCCACGCATGTCATTTGACTTCTTTTGCTTGAGAAAGACGACATCATTTTAGCCAGAGCGCCTCTCATGGAAGCAAACTTCTAAAAGATAACCGTAAAAAAACCATGCCCCTAAGCCAGAATCAGGAAACGGGATGTTTCTCGAATCTCCTCACCTCAGACCATCTTCTATTTCAGAAAAAGAACTATTCTTACCATAAACAGTTTAGCATGGGGTCCTCCAACATCTAACAGTTGTGTGGGTATCTAATCAAGTACATGCTATGATATCATTTTTCTGAAATTTGGTTATGACAAAGTTACAGATGTTACAGAATCTTCTAAGATTTGCTATAAGTCTCGTGTAAACTAACACCTAAGATGCTATTCCTGC